TGTTAAGACTGCATTTTAATTTTAATAAGCTGAAAATATAAATGTTTAAAAATCCCCCCCAACTATTTTTTAAATAACTATAATTAAATGTAGCCCTGCCACTAAGGACAAAGTAACAGTTGCACTACTATAAATATTAATGCTAAATTTACAGAGAATAAAATCCATTTAAGCACCCTTATAAAATTTTTACTGAAGCTACACTTATAATAAGCACTTTGGTGAAGCTATGCCTATTGGTAACTGACATGTATAGATAAAGTCTCTAACCAGCTACAGAAACCTATAACACATTACATACATTTGGAGCTGTTCATGGTTCCTCCTCTTTATTCGAAATCTGTGGTCCTTCCTCCTCCTTCTTCTCCTCACATGAGTCACTCAAGTCCTGCAATTATTTGAAGCCTGACAGACTTGGACTTGGGACATGAAGAGGCTGCAGCAGATCTCACTGGTTTTCCAGCTTCTACTTTATGACACAAGACTTAATCACCATACAGCTCCATACAGATTTGTTTAGCACAACATTCTATTATCGCCATGGCAATAAAGTGGTAGGCTTTTTATACGGTTTTCCATTGGATGATGATTATTATTTTTCTCATTTTATTTGTGCTTTGAGCATATACTTTTGAAAATGAAACATAGTTACTTCTCACAATATAAGATGCAAATTAATGTGGGTTTTGGTTTTCGTTTTTTTTTTTTTTTTTTTTTTTTTTTTATTAGAAGTGGTTTTTATCCAGCTAGCAACCAGTTTTCACATCCTTAGCCAAGTTCAGATATGAGCTGTAAGGTAATATCGTTTGGGCTCCTGCACCCTCAGATGTACTTACACCCTCTTGCCACTGGTAAGCCAGACTAAGAGGGGAAAAGCCAGAGGGAAAGGAAGGACTATGAAATTAAAATTGGACAGAGAAGTTTATTTACGCTTTTGATAATGTTCCTGGTATTTACAGATACAGTAAGGATTGCTGCACTGATAAAAGGATACAGTTATGGACTGAAGGATATGTCCGTGCAGTCTGTACCAAGTGAATGACTCCAAGATAGGCATTGTGGACACAAACCTCTGCCACAGAGAAACAGCAACTCCAATTTGAGTTGTTGCAACATGCATATTCAGAGCATCAGAAGACTCCCCATGACTGAAGTCAAGGTTTGCTCTGTACTTGACTAATCTCTGTATTTGACCTTCCTGCTACATCTACACTGCTATTATTATTTGCACCAAGAACCTGGTGGGCTTCCTACTCTACTCATGTTTCTATCCTGCCACTGCCAGTCCATCTAGTCAGTTCAGGGATAACTGGGCATATTTGGATATCTCATGTCCTGCACTGTTCAGCTGGGGCAGTATGGCTGCGTACTTTCAGCTTGCCCCATGTACAGACCTAAATCTACCTGAGTGTAAGATATAACTCCTTAGAGCAGTTTGTTAGGAGATAAGGGCTTCATGGAGTTTAACAGAAATATATATGAATTGTGCATGCTTAGTTAGTCAGTTTTTTAAATCTATATTTTAAAGAAATATATTATAGCTTGATAGCTCTTCTTATCTCTGTGAGGCGGTTCATATTTTTTAGGAAAACTTTCCAGTCTACTATGAAGTCCTCACAAAAGTAAGGTACTTGAGAAGGTGCCTGAACTGCTGTGTCTGATAATTTAAAACAGAAATGGTCAAGTACTTGCTGAAATTCTAGTGTTTTAATTACTTCAGTACCTTCTTTATCAAATAGAGGAAATGCCTGAGAAGCAAGAATTCAAATTATTTAAGCAAACGTAGACATTTCAGAAGAGAAGTCTTTTTTAGCAACTACTTGGCACTTCACATGGAAATACCTGAGACCCACATGCCCTTTACTTGCAGGTATTTTATACACGGAGAAATAAAACACATTTCTCAGAGCCTTACTTAGTTTGAAGCTTTCCTTTCGTTAAAAATTGAGATGCAATTGTTCAAATAAGACAAAAATAGCCTGTATTTCTGTGCCACATGTAAATATAAATATGGAAATGAACAACAACCTGCAGTAAAAGCAAAAAGGCATTCTAACAAGTACACAAACTTTTCAGAAAAGGCAGTGGTTAAGACAAGAAAGGAAAGAAAGAAAAACAAGAGGACTGCCTTAAATAATTTAAATTAAGGTATTTTTAATTAATCACCTGAGCATGTTCAATTTGCCTTTTGTTCTCCCCTCAGTTCATTGTCCCTGGTGGGACAAGTTTGTTTTCTACTCTGTAAAGAACTGGATAGGCCTTCATTCTTATCAGTTTCACCTCATCCTGAAAGATCACTTGCTCTATTCTTGTCCTTCCTTGCTCAGAACATCCAACCTATTCTTCACAGGGGTTTTCCAAAGGTTTCTCAGGGGAAACAGACTTGGTTTAGCACAGTTGCAGCAGGAGGCATACAAAAGAGTAGTTCAAATAAGTGGCAGAAATACAAATGTCTAGAAAAGGTGTGGGTCATATCCCCTCGCATTCTGCTACTGACTCACTGTGCCCCCTTGTTTTATTCTGCCCCTTATGATGCTGCACATATAAATCACTGATTCCATAAATGAAAAGGAATATTATACCTTTCTAAACTTCAGGTAAAAGTCCTATTAGTTTGCTAATACTATTGCACATTGGTGTAATACAGCAATTTCTGTTTTACCATTAGAACTATTTTAAATAATGGGTTTAAAAACGTGTATTTATTGAACCTGAACTGTGTCTATTGGCAAAACAAATGCTACCATATCCAAAGGTCATTGGAAAGGAATCCTTTGGATACTAAAGAGGATTCTGTAACTTCTTAACATGAAAGCTTGATCTTCGCTTACTTACTGAAAGTCTTATAGGAAAACAGAAGCATATAGCATGCACTGCGCCAAGTGTGGTGAAACTGTGTGGGAAATTATTATACTGACAGAGACACACCTGAATTCTTAAACTTCAAAGTAGAAGGACTTTCATTTATAGAATGTCATGGATGGGATGTGATGTTCTGGGTTATTTTATTCAACTAGCTGGACTCTGGGAACAGTGCTTTCAGGTCTGCCTCTTCTTAACAAATTATAACTTTGTGTCGTTAGAGTCCCCCACCACAGAGATGGCAGCAACTATTACTCAAAAAATAGCTCAGGAGAAAATTGAGAACTTCCTTATTTTTTTCTTGTAGGGGAAATGAGAAAGAGTTCTGCTTTTCCATAGTACCATAGACAAAGCCCTGATCTCCATGAAGAAAATCCCTTGACCCCTAAAATTATATTAACTATCAACTGGTATCCTAAAAACTTAATGGACAACTTGTTCATGCTGAAGGCCATTTTTAAATCATACCCTCAGCAGACAAAACTATGACCTTTAAAATTTCCAGGCATCCCTGCCCATGGCAAATGGGTTGGAAATAGGTATCTTAAGGTCCTTTCCAACTCTAATCATTCTATGATTCCCACGACACCCAGGGATGACAGGACAGATATTATCTTCCATTACCTGTAGCTAACACTAACCTGGGCTATTGAATTTATCTATTTCTTATTTCAATAACATGGAGCACAGGAAGGCTTCCCCCCCCTCCCCCACTTACTGTGAAAAATGTAAAGTGATTATATAAATATTTCAATATCCTGTTTAACAGTTAATCTATCTGGCCGAAATAGGAATGTGGTTCCAGCAAATTTACAAACATCACAGAAGTCTCCAAATAGTGTGAAAAAAAGATTTCTGTAAAAAAACAGCATCACCCATGGTACTACTATTTTGGGTGTTTGTATATGTGACTTCACTAGTGATGTCTTTGCTGGAAGCCTGTATTATCTTTAACTGCAGGACAGAGTTTACAGGTTGAGATTTAGGAAATGCAGCCACTGATGGCAGGGAATTTCTACCCCCAGCCGCTGTTCCCTTCCACTCTCCTGTGCAGGCAGCAACTCCCCCATGGCCACACACAACTGATCAGGCTTTTGTCAGGTTGAAGTTCCCTGGCCCAGGCCATTGGGCAGGAAGACAAGCGCTGGTTTTGACACAAGGCAGGCAGGAAGACCACACTGTTGGAGATACAGGGGTAGTGAGACCACTTTTGCAGGCACAAGCCTGCCTCTAAATCCATAAGCTTAAACTGGACCTGAGACTGCAAGTGCACATGAGATGGCTCTACAGTTCTTTGCAATAGCAATGTTTCCTTCGAGGTATTTTTGATTCTTCTTTCCTATGCTTGAAAACAATCTTGCTGTGGCATCAAGAATTATTTACTCTAGAGGCTGCTGCATTTCAGTAGACTCCAACACAACAGCCTAAGACTACTTAATATACAGCATTTTTTCATTCAGGGCTTTCAAAATTCTGCAGAGAAGTGGTTATATTTGTTGCTCTCATTTTACAGGTGGGAAAACCAGGAAACTTGCTGCTCGACAGCTAATACACCTTATCTGTCTGTGTCAGAATCAGAAGTGGCCCAGAGCATAAATGCAGACAGCTACAGAGCCCCAGCTGACAGGTGCTAACTTCTGCAGCCACTATAATGCGCTCACATCTGATCGTTTGTCTTTGCCCTCAGTTGCTACATGATCCTTTTGTCTGATAAAACCATAATGCCTGTCTGCAGTAGCACATTATATCTACTTATAATAAGTCTCAGCTTAGGAAACTTAACAGAGCTGTTTGAAAGACGTGATAATTTACATGCTTGGAACACAACTTAGAGGCAACTGAAAGAGTAAAAGAGGTTTGGGGAATAGATGAAGGTCCTGATAATGTGCTATTCATTTTTCATTTCGAATCCTCACCTTCACAAAATCTCTAGGCATGATTTGATATGCCTGTTTTGTGGAGTTACTACAATACAATCAAGAAGTCTGCAGTTGTCAGAAGATGCTATTTCTACATAGGCTGAGGGTGCTGGTAGCACTCAATTAATAGCAGAAAAGTTTTGAAGTCTTTGTGTTAGTCCCCAGCCAGGCAGGAAAAAATAGACATTAAATAAGATGTGGTGACCACATGAAACTTACCTTGTACAACAAATCATGAGATGATGCAACTATTTCTTTTATCTTAATTAGGGTCTGTTCTAAGCTGAGCACTGCAAAACTTGCAGGTGGTGTATCCTGCTTTTGTCTCTGTTGGTTTTTAGATGCTCTGCCATCATCAATTGCACTTAGGAAATCAAAATAAGAAAGCTTGCTGTCATGAATGCTGATTCCTAAGCTAAAGAAAAAACACAGAATGAGGTATCAATGATTTTGAATAATTATCTCACTGTTGTCTGTGCTGATTAATTATTATGAAGTATTATTTGTACTGCAGCAGCACTTCAGGATATGCTTGTGCTGTCAGTGTATAAATCCTGTTAGTTACAACCCAAGTTCTTTCTCAGGTCTAAGACACCAATCCTGTAATTTAAATGCAGCCATACTCTCACATGCAGCTCCAGGCTAATCTCCAGATGCTCAAGAGGAGCCCTGCTTTAGCCTGGACCCAACCTTCCAGTCCATCAGCATTAACTTGGTGGTTTTTAAACACAGCACAGTTCTTTGATCACAATCTGCTGAGGAACTTACCGTTCCAAATGTGGCTGGAGGTCACGGTAGGCTCTCAACCTTGCCCTTGAATCTCCTTTTCACGTCACAGTGTAAACAGTCTAACGGACTCTGTTAAGGAGTATACGTTCATTATGCCAAGTCCTGGTATTTTCCCTTGACTTTCTGGGCATTGACTTTACGAAAATACTTCGACTCACGGATGCTGAAGTGCTACCTAAGCCTCCCAATACGTTGTGGTTGTTACAATTCGGACAGAAAGAAGCCAAACCGCATTCTATGTCTGGTAAGCTGTTACCAGACACAAACTAAGACATCCAGTGCCACTTCATGGTATGTTTCATGGATGTTCCAGCACAGGTCTATGCTCACTCACAATTTCTCTACCACATGGAGGGAAACCAAACCAGCCCCCATTCAATACTTCTCTTTATGTTTGCGATGGAAAGCCTTTCCTTCCCTCTCACCCATCCACTGAGCCGCATAAGGGGCTGCTACATTTGGCCCATCAGCTGCTGCCACCATTGACCTGTGGCACACAGTGTCCTGGGAGGGTTTCTCCTCTGATAGCTCATGGTCCGGCTGTACCTGGGAGCCCAGCCCACAGGCATTGCAGGCTGCAGTCACAACTTGAATTTCTGCCTGTCAGCTGAAACATCTGCTGGATCAAAGACGCTGGGGAATTTCATGTTCTCTCACACTGGAAATTCAGGGGGCTGCAGAGCTGACTATGGATAGCTCCAGGTAAAAACAGTGAATATATTTTTGCATCAAATATCGGTGTGGGGAATGATGAGCTCTTGCATATGATTTGGGAAATTGTTTTTGCAAAGGACTTTGTTACCAAACTGAATTATTTTAATTCAAAGATGTTTTACCATAAAAAGACTAGAATTAAGGCGAGTTTCACATATACAGAAAATACAATGTTATTAAAGTTATTCAGGATGAAACACTAAAAGATGAGTAGCACTAACCATTATATGAAAAGCTACTTTCCTCCAATGTCCTGTGACTTGTGACCGCTTCATGAGAAGACATCTGGTATATTTTAAACAAGGACTTCAAACTTGCCTAAAGGGCCTGTAGAGTTCATCACCACAAGGGATTCAATAGCAGGGGCTTGCCCTGCTCTTGCTTATAAAGCCAGTATAAAGCTAGTGCAAGTCAGTCTGGGGAATTTTCTATCACTGAACAACAGTGTCTCCAGAGCACAGTATATATTAGGTTTTTTTTTGGTACAGAACCATTGAATCCTGTGGAATTATTCCCGGTTGACCTTAGAGTTACCATCTATGTAGAGGTTTCTAATAGACTTTAATAATTTCATAGTCAATGGCAAGAACTGTAGATTGCTTTCACACATGTACTACATAAACAATTCCTATGCTGCAGGGGAAAGGCTGGACATTTTTAGTCTTGTATTCAGGTTTTATTAGAATTATGGTCAAAGCAAGTCCTAGTAACCCAAGACTTGACAGAGGAGATGGCCCCACTACACAACCTCGATTTTCTTGTTTAAATCTGAGTTACTGTAACGTACTTTTATCATCTGTTTCCACAGTAAATCACTGGGGACCAATGCCTCAGCTACCAATCACCAACATATCCAGTTACAAGAATGCCTAATTAATGGGGAGAGCCAGTAAAACAAAGGAGAAGCTTTATAAAACAGGCTGGAAAATAAATTAACTATAGACCCCATATCTGCTAGTAAGAAAAAAAATATTCAAGAGCCCTGATTTTGCATCTTGCAGCTGCACAGCACTCCCACATACTACCCGTGTCAAGCTGGCTCCAATATTGGAGACTGTGTGGAAAAGGAAATAATCAACACCATTTCAGCAGAGAAATAAATTGCCAAGTGGGCATTAAAATTTTAGTAATAAAACTAAATGCATATGCTAATCTACTCTGCATTATTTAGAAAAGACTATTTTGGATCAAGAAAGGAATAATCTGCACAAAATTACAATGAATGGAGGTGTTTATCATCAAGAGGTCTTTGAGAAAGAAACAAGCAGCGGATTCTTATTAAGGTTTCAATTCATAAAAAGTTGATCACCCAATTAAAGGTGAACTGTGAAAAGACTTTGCTAATTTTATGTCAGAAAAAGAGTCTGGTCTCATAGGCTCTGGAGAACAAAACCCAGTGCTGCCAGGCATATAACCTTCGGGGGGGCTTTTTGGTGCAAAGAACCACAGTACCTAATGTTAGAGCAGGCCCCTTTTGCTCTTCAGCCTCTACAAAAGATTTTTCTTCTTACTCATGTTAACACAGACAATTAAAAGCATAGTCTTGCATAGCAACAGCATTGGATTATTTGATTATTGCGATTTTATAACCTGAATTAATTCTGATTCTGTGTTGAACAGGATATGTCTCACACACCTGCTCTACTAAATTGAAATTAAATAAATAGAACAAACCAGCAAACACATACAAGTACTCAAAGCATACTTCTTATGAAAGAAGCCATTCCACTCCTGTTACGTGCAGAATTAATCAAGATTTTCCATGCCTGTGCAGTTTGACACATATTGATATCTCCATTGGTTTTAACAGAGCTTCTTATATGCTTAACACTAAATAGAAGCTTGGTTCTGCCAAGGCTTTGCTGTGCGTGACCAAAGAGGTGCTTAGGAGATAATCATACCAACCTGTTTAGGATACTGTTGAATTGATTGTGATCAAGGTAATAGTTGAATTTTTGTAGTATCCTGTGCAGGTCATATAGTGTGCCATAGCCATCTCTATTTCTATCTACTTTATGAAAGGCCTTCTTGAAATCTTGGAAGTAATCCCTAAATTTATCCCTGAAAGAGAGCAGATGTTTATTTTAGCTTCTTTGTTAAATCAGGGAAAAAGGATACAAATATACAAAATAGGGGTGGAGGGGCAGAGAAAGAGTTTGAGCTTATTTGTGTGTGATAAGTTTGTATAATTTATTCAAAGACTGCCAAATTGTTCACAAATAAACCTCAAACCCAACTCCCTCCCCCTCCCATTTAATTTGCACATAGAATTGTATGGCTCAAGCGCCTGTTGTAAAGAAATGCTTCTTGGGAGATTAACTGCCCACTCTCCCAGCTCAGAACTGCAGGTGCAACCCATTGCTCTCTCTCTTAAAGTCTGGCCTGAGCAGAGTTACAAAATGTTTAATACAGCCATTAAAATGGTAAAGGTTCAGCTGCTTACTTTCTGCAGTTTGAGGCTCCTGAAACTTTGATGTAGCAAGAACAAGTATTTCAACAAAACCGGTTAGATCTGACCAAAACCTGAACTAGCACAGGGCCTGATCCCTGCCCAAGGGAACAAGTGCAGAGCTTCTGTGGACTCACGGACTTTGGATCAGCACCTTACAAGTAATTGAATTATGTTTCTTATGCATAATTGAATTCAGGCCTATTGTGATTTAGCCCTGGCCCACAGCTAAGTACAAAAATCTTGAGTCTTCTTCCCACTTCATTTTGTCACTTATATTTCACTGACATCAGGGGTCTCTTGATCAAACCTTAGAAACCCAAGCAATACACCTCTTTGCCTCTTGATTCAACCAAGTTTCTCCACGTTGTGGCTCAAGAAGACAAAGCAGGCACAAGCATCTCTCATTACTGCATGTCTTCAACTAGCAAAGGGGCCTAAGATTGATGTAAATGAGAATAGTTGTGAATTATGTCTTGATGTAGAGTACCAAGTATACATAAATTATCTACATATATTCATCACTTACAAGATGCTACTCTTATGGCAAAAATAACAAGTTTGGATCTGGGTTAATACCTACAGCCACACTCCATTTGCTTTGGGATTGCTCTTTCTGACAGCTCTAGGGTTCAGAGTGTGGAGGTTGGGTTCTTTAGAGAGTCAGCATTTGTAGTATAAAAGGCTTATTACAGTGATAGCACAGTTCAACAGTGTAACCCAGATAATCATAATTCATTGCCTCAGCCTCTCATCGAGCCTATCTGTGGATCTAACAGCTCAGACCAGTTCACTTCACTCCCTGTTAAGCCACTATCAATCAGTCAGTATCTGAGCCTTACATTTTCTCCATTGCATGAATATGTGCAATCAGTTGTTATAAGACCAACATGGGACAGAATAAATTTCATATGCCTTTTAGCAATACTCAGTCTTTTCAGAGCTTTACAAACTCTCACGGATCTCCTCAGAGGTGTCTGTTCTCAGCTCCAGTTATTGATGCTGTCTTTCCTCTCAGATCATTGCAGAATCCTTGGTTTTCCACTTGTTTTCAAGAAGCTTGAAGTTCAGTATAGCCTTTACAAGAACAATACATTTTCCATGTCAATGTTTCTCCTAAGAATCTGTCTTTTTGGACTTTGTACCTCATATGAATGAAGAGTAATTTCCCCACAGCCCTCAGGGTCCAGAAAACACCACTGTGTGTGCAAACATCATCACCTACATTAAAAAAAAAATATGAATTGTGATATGACTTAGAAGGATTCTTTGCAATTTATTATATGCTTCAGACCCTTTATACTGTTATGGACTAGATTGGGAGTACCAGAATCTCTGCTTAAGAAAGTTTCAGGTGGCAAGAAACCATTTTTCAATGATATTTCTTTCAAGTTCAGTGACAGTATGGATCACTTCTCAGCTGCACAGGTTGCTTGAATTGCCTTTTAACAGTTTTAACTCAGCTTACCATTGTATTCATAATATCAGGCTATCCATTCCTTACAAATCATTTCATGTCTGAGCTGCTGACCAGGGCACTACTGCTAAACAGAAGTTCTGGGACTCAATATCCAAACAAATAGAGCATTAATGTGTGCCATAACAAGTTCTGATGTTAAATTCAATCCAAATGCAATTTCAGGCTAATGCCCTGGTCAGATACTTACAACAGGTTCAGATGAGCCAACATACGGTCGGTCTTTCACATTTTTCAGCAGCTTTGTGAGTGTCCTGTTCTCTGTGAGACTTGTCAGGTCTTAACACATTGACACTACTATGCTCTTGCCTTTGAAGTGTGTGCTGCTAAACACAGAAGACTGATCTGATTGGTATATATAGGCTTGGTATGCAATGCCCTCACTACCCACAGGTGGTAACCTTCATGACTTTCTCCACTGTGTCATCTTCTGTACAGCTTTACAAACCTTTCTTTCACCACTTTCTTCTAAAATAGGATATTACTTTTTTTATAATTGTATTTCCAAGAGTTCTGTCATTCTCTGTGTTGTTTTCAAGAGAAGACTCCTTGAATGTTCTAGAAAATATGTTTTTGATTAGTTGTTTTTGATTAGTAATTATTTCTTCAACATTATTGTCAAATTGAATGGTTTTACCTAAAAAACCCCACTAAAAGTCACACTATTTTTATGTTCTAGAAGCTGTTTCTTCTTTTGCCTACAAAGTGGTTCATCTCATCTCTGACCATAACAGATCAATAGACAAATATGCAATATTTCTTACAATCGAGTGCAGAGCTAGAGCTCTGCTCTTTGGGTTTATGCCTTGAATCATGGTGTCAACAAGTGCCCTAGAAACACAGGACACATATTTCCATTGATGATTTTTTTAAATAATACTGCCTATAAGCCATCTTTTGAAGTCTTTGCCTTCTAGTGTCAATATACCTAAGGTCAAGAGCTGTCTTTATTAATGCCTTTAATTTGGGAATTCTTTTTCCAGGTTTACTGCCCAGTATGTTCGTTTTGTGTAGCAACTCAAAAGTGGCTTGTACATATTGCCCATGTGGTATGAATTCTCATAGAGCATTTACATGCTAACAGGACTCTGGACACTCTTGTTACCTTTGTGGATGGCATATTTGCAATGACTCTGGTTTATCTTGTTGGCAGTTAGTCTTTTATGTTAATTTTCTCCCCTTACATTTGCATTTCTGTCTAATCCTACTTCCCAGGCCCTCTCGGATACTTTTTTTCCAGATTTCCTTCTGTTTTTTTTCTCTGCTTGATATCTTCAGCATCTGTTTAAACAGCCACAGCTGCTTCAAGCGAATGGCTTTTCCTACACTTTACTGTGAAAACTCAAGAATGGGCTTTAAGCCTATATGAAGTCTTTGAAGGCAAAATCTCCTGTACAGTGGTCTAAAAATGCTTGGTCTTAACTTCTCTCATGAAAGGAAGTTTTGCTGGATACAGCAGAAGAACTTGAATTTGCAATTTTTGTAAAAAATATTAATATTTGTAAAAACATATGCAGTCCTTTTGCCTAAAAATATCCTTTATAAGACAGTGTCTGTCTGAAACATATATTTAGACACATTGGATGTAAGAACAATATCAGTGACTTGTCTTTTCATCTTGCTGTTGCTAAATGGCTCTTCCATTTTTAAACTTCCCACCATTACTCCTACATAATCTAGCTCCTTTATGAGATTCTCTCTCAAAATCAGTGGAATACTTCTAGTAGCACACATTGCTGTGAAAATACAGCTCTATATTCTGTGGCTACTTTATCTCTGACACTGCTGGGTACTGATCTTCCGTATGTTCCTTCATCAGACTCACTGCTTTAACCAAGCCCAGGGCTAGGCATATTTTAGACCAAATATTAGCTCTTTCTGCTTATAAACTTAAATTGCAGTATTTATCTTCACTTTGCAATTTAAATCCATACAATCCTTTAGTAGGATTTAAATTCTCAGTAGATGCCCCCAGTTTCAGCAGTCTTTCTTCATATGTAGATATTCCTAAGACAAAATTTTTACAGTGTGTTTGGAGGTAACGTTGACCGAGCACCAGTTTTGTCCTAGCTTGACTAAACAGCAGTCTGTGTGTTTGGATCTTTGATCATAGAATCATAGAATTGTCTAGGTTGGAAAAGACCTTTAAGGTCACTAAACCCAACCATAAACCTAACACTGCCAAGTCCACCCCTAAACCATATCCTAACCACATCTGCATGTCTTATCTGATCCCTTAAAATGGAATCTCTGAAAATGCATACCTACTTGACTGATCCATTATTTTAAGATCAGCTAAAAATTCTTCAAAGGACTCTCCTTCTGCATTCTCATATGAAACCTTTCAAAAGTTCAAGGTTCCTTAGGAGTGCAATACTCCTTCAACTTACTTTTCGTACCTGCATGGATTGCCCTCTCACCCTGGCTTGGTTTCATGCCATTAAAAACTTTGATAGCTCCTACTCCTGTAATATTCCAGAAAATAGTTGTGAGCTTCTTTATGATTAATCTAGCCACTGTATATAGGTTTTGAAGCATGATGTGAATCTTTTCAGGGAAACTGCAATATTGCCAGTGTGTTTTAGAGTCTCTAAAAGCCCCTAAAGAGCTATTACCTTTTCTCTTACTTTCAAATATCTTTTTTTTCTAGTTAATTCCTTCCTCCTTTTCACGTTATTCTCCTGTTACCGTGTGGTACTTGGTTTACACTTAAAGCAAGGCTTGTATTGGAAAGAGCATAGAACTGTTCTGCAGAGGGTGCACATCAGACAAAGAGCACTTCCATTGCACTGAAGCTGCCTTTGCTGTCTTCAGTCTCTATGTATCTAATTACTAACCAGCTTAGACTCATTCAACCTCCTCTTAGATGTGAGACCCTAGAGATCCAA